CACCATTTGAAGCATCTTCTGGCAAAATTCCAAGCGAATCGGGAGGTCTGCAGCGTTCAGTTTGTTGGCCATTTGAATTTTATATGGGAATAAGTCCAAATCTTTGTGCATAATTGACTGTAATGACTGTCTGCTTACACCCATTTGAGAAGATAAGCTTCTTGTCGAAACACGTTTTGTTTTGTATGGCAGCAGCTACAGCAGCGATTGTTTCCTCGATGGTAAGGTCTTTTGTTGACTGTCCCATGCTCGGCAAAATTGTTTACAAGTCTCATTATGGTCTATCTGCTCGGAGGATTGCCGCCAAACGTGCGCCTATACTCTCTTTGAACCAAAACTACGGACTCCAGTGCGTGATAGTGGCGGACAATAAAATTCTTGTTTCAGTGTCAAAGTTATCCATTTTTGTTAAATGTAAAAGTTAATCTGCAAAATAAAAATAAAAATTAACCAGATTAATTAAATAGAAAAAAAGTTATTTAATTTTTTTTTTGGTGGCGGCTTTCATCAGCCACCCCGTATTGTGTATTGCATGGTGAGTGCTGTAAGAATACGAATGGAGGTTTACYTGGCTAAATCTGTTAAGATGACAATTAGAACAAGAAATATTGTATATCTGAGATGAAGGAAAAACCATAACTTGTTTCGATGTGAAAATATAAACTCTCAAGCAAAACGAGGAAAATTGTGTTAATATCAGCCATATTTGTTTCTCCAGGAATCTGATGAGGGAGCATTTCACATCCATTAACCCAGGAGCTTCGCTAAGCCTCCTTGATACAACTGAATTAAATTAAATAATTTGGCAATAGAAGGCACACAATAAACCACATTATCGCAGTGAATTATAATCTTATTTAATATTATTATTTTCTATTGTACCCGACACAAAGTAGAAATACCACAAGTATTTTTTAATTTGAAAGATTTTGTTGCAAGATTTGTGGGAATTTATTTCTTTGAATAAATTCACTGATTTTACTCTTGGACACAATTGATTAATTTAATAATAATTTCAGTATTTAATTCAAGAAATACTATTTTATACATGGTTTCTAAATAAACATTTATACAATTCTATTTTTTTAATTACAGGAAGATGATTTAATTGCCACAGTCGAAGAAAGCTCTTTTTATCAACGTCGTTATGGGAAATATTTTGATATGGTTATTGTAAATAATGATTTTGACAACACATTTCAGCAAGTAGTGAAAGTACTCGACGAAATGAGTCATGAGGAACAGTGGGTCCCTGTGAATTGGATATACTAAATCGAATTATATAACCTGCATATATAAACTTAATTTTCTTAAATTTGATTGAATATACATGTATTGATTCATTAGCACCTAACTGAATACTGTATTACTTATTATCATCCATTGAATTTATTTCAAAATATTTTTGAATAAAAAATGTTGCAAGGGGTGGGGATTACCCTTTTATGGCAATATAAATAGACAGTTAACTCTCTACTTGTTTACACTCTTAATGTCATATGATATAAAATAATGTTAGTATAGAATTATGTGGTGTACTAGTTTATATTCGACTATTTGACAGCTTTAACATGATGATGAAGTGAATTCAATTTACTTCACACTATTAAACTAGTAGATCCTGCGGTAAAGGACAGATATCAGACTGAAATCTATGAATATTTAAACCAACAAAAATAATCTTACAACATCGAAAAAGAATAGAAAATTTAAAAAGCTGCGACACTTACATGATATGTAATGTATTACAGTTGGATCAGAAACTAAAAACAAAACACGGAATGGTTCGAGGAACTCTCTGTTCTGCCTCCATCTAATAAAATTGCCGTTATGCCCGATGACGCAACGGCCAGTACCATGCCATTATTTGATCGTATTTCAGCAAGAATTAGTGAAATAAGGATGTTCCGGGTGGAACTCGGTGCATCCAAAAGGAAAAACCGACCTTGTCCTGCTAAAACTGCGAGCAAAATCCGGTCATAAATGATTCCTTGTTCGTCAGTCATTAGTGGACATTGCGAGTAACAATAGGTGCCATTTCTAGAGTGTTGTACTGCAGTTCAGGATTCATTTCAGTGTTAATTAATTCAGATGCAGTTCGATTTGACGAATTCATACCGAAAAGAGTGAGTGATAAGTTGGTATTGGCAATGAAAAGATCCTCAATAGCAATCAATGCTTCATTACATAGCGTCGCTGAATGATATCATTAGATCGTTGCACCCTGTACGATGTTGATGCTATATATCATCAGTCATTGAATCTCTGGACGTTATCCCACAATATCTGTGCCCGAGCTGGGAGACATGTGGTCAACACTATAGCGAATAGTAGACGAAGTTGAATGCAGCTTCAGCAAGCATACACTCCCTCTGGTTGCCGTCTTCCAGTCGAAGATAAAAGCAAAAAGTGTTTTGGGTTGACTGTAAATAATCACCCCTAAGCGTTCGACTTAAATAAATTGAAACATGCATCAACTTTTGAGCCTTACTTGCGGGGCTTCCATTTTTTTATTTGAGCCCATCATAATCTTGCAAAATCATCCGTAGTATTACACAATTCAAAAAATGCAGTATGTGTAGTTTTAGGTGGAGTTGTAGTAGAATCAATCACTGCCTCGTTCGTGAAAAATACACGCTGACCGCTTTCAAGATGGACGGCTAACTGAACAACTGCTGGATCCCGCTCATGAAATGGAAAACCGAAGATACGCCCATATCATTGCCTTTATGAACATACTTGCAAATATATTTGATGCTCTTTACAGAACGGCAAAAGTCAACATTAATATAAGCATTTTATGTCTTGCTTAGTAAAGGCGAATACGGCACCACCTAACGATTATCAATGCCGATGTCTGTGTTGCTGATACTTTTAATAAATGATTGTCCGCCATTATCGGAATTTCCTCGACGATATATTTAATATCCGTCGGTATTTGTTACCGTATCATTAGAGATATCTGTAGGGAAATTTTTAGTACATTTTCCATCTGCCATGCAAGGCGATGAACGATGTAGAGTACCGCATGAACTATGGATCATGTTTGCTGTAGAAATATGAAACAGCACTTGGTCAGTAGACGGATCTGGAATTTCCGCAAAATGATACTCATCAAAAAAAAAAAAAAAAAAATGTGGGCGTTAGGTAATCTTCGCCCTTGCCTCTCAACTAAATACAGCCAGCAACTTGTGGGGCCGAATACATGTAATGTACTAATGAAACTTATTAGAGACTTCAACTTTCGCCTGAATGCACGTGCTGGAATGTCATGACGATGTATTGCATTTTGGCCAGGCAATATTATATAATATTTTGGATTACATGTGAACGTGATAAGGAAATAAGGAAACACGGTCGTCCGTATTCACACACGTAAGCATAGCATTCTGTATTTACTCTTGCGTATGACGTGGACTGCCTACGTACGATGATGGTAAAATGACAGAGTTGAATGTACTCTTCTTCAAGCAGCTTGAGTTGATATATTGCAAGTATCGTAGTCGTTCGCCCTCTATCTTCGCATACACGTCGACCTGAATTGTTGACAAAGCTCACTACATCGTAGACTGACGTTGTTCAGGCCTCACCGAATCATTAATCGGTACGTATAATAACCTTTCGAGCTAACGTTCTTCAGTAATAAAATATTGCGAACTTTAGCATTAGTATTTCGAATTATTTCTGTTGCTCCAATGTCATTTGAAAGTAAGAATTGTTTGTTCGAATTGACTTTAGGAGTACGTTAGAATCTGGATCCGTACCGATAAGTAAACCGTTCAATGGTTCCGGTGGCGTTTCAGTTTCAGGTAGTTGCACTTTTCCTGGGGCGCAACACATCCCAGGCGGCTCATTTTTGTATTTCATAGCGTGACAATGAGGACATTCCTTATCTATAGCACCAATTACCACTTTTAAAAGCATAATATTCAATATCGGGCTCTTACTGAAATGCTAGACTCTAAAATCAATCAGATGTAAAGCACGATGTACCTATTGGCGTTATTGATCGTTTGTTCTGCGTCGATTAACCGTGAAACGGCGTGATTTTCGTTGTTCTAAACGATTGACTTCATTGCGCACAGCCTTTTATCTCTCATACTTCTGGTCCTACTTGTATTACGGCACAAATCAGCCCCTTTGCGTTTTCGTGGCACTGCTCATTGTACAAAACACATAGGCATAATAATATGCCTAATGAAATTACTTAATGATGGAAAACGTTGTAGTTATATATAATTACGGAATTTTTTATGAAAAAAAAGTTCCTGAGAAAAAAAATTAGAAACAATAGTTGTAAAAAATTCAAATAAGTATATAAAAAAGTATACTTACAAAAGCCGTTGTTGGTAGGACTTCGTGACACGTGTTGAGTACTTTTAAGGTTATGTGGTTTAACAAAAATTTGATTAACTGAACTAATCATGCAAAATACACTTAAAGTTAATAATTTTATTATGTCATAATGTTAGTTACCGTATTCCTCCGAAACCAGGTTGGATCTCCAATTATGTTGCTTCGTAATTTAAATGGTAAAACTATGTTTATCGGTGGTATGGTGCTTTGTATTGAGTGTTGGTTGCGATGCGTGGTGAGGTTGTGGGAATAGATTTTAGTGGTATGTGTTGTCACGTGATCATAAGTTATATGAATAGATCAAAATACATTTTTGAAGAATTAATGGATGTTTAGTTGGCCAAATATGTTAAGATGAAAATTACAAAATAAAAAATATTGTTTATCAGAGAAGCAGGAAAACACGTAGCGTTATCTTACGTGGTATATGCCACTAATTGAATAAACAATTTTTGTAAAAACACATTTCAACAAGCTGAGAAAGTACTCAACGAAATGAGTAATAAGAAACAGTGGGTCCCCGTGAATTGTTTATACTAAATCGAATTACATAATGTCCATTGAACAATCTTAAGTTTCTTAAATTGACTGAATATACACGTTTTAGTTCATTAGATTCCAAGCGAAGTCTGCTTCTCCAACTGGTCTTTCCAATGTAGTGGAGGTCTTCCGAATCCACTACTTTCCCCGGCGGGTACTTCGTCGAATACTTTCAGATCTGTAGTATTTTCGTCTATTCGGAGAACATGACCTAGCCAGCGTAGGCGCTGTCTTTTAATTCGCTGAACTATGTCAATTTCGTCGTATGTATATCTCATACAGTTCATCGTTAAATCGAATGCGAATGTGGCCCAGGCGGAAAGGCCATTGATTTTTCGCATGCCTCTGCACCATATTGCAGAACGGGAATAATGAATGACTAACGAAATTTTGTTTTCGTTCGTCGAGAAAGGACTTCACTTCTTAATTGCCTACTTAGTCCGAAATAGAACCTGTTGGCAAGAGCGTCTGCGTCGCGGATGTCGCGACTAACTTTGTTGTTGATGTTGATTCCAAGATAGAAAAAATTATCTTATGTTGCTTTGACAACAGTAGACAGTTTCGTTTTGTCCTCGTTCACCACCAGCGCCAGCATCAGGGCATTTTCCCAGAAATATGGAAGAGGCAACATCTGACCCTAATAAGCAAAGACGAAGGAGACCCAGGAACACCATCGACATATCGACCTCTATGCATGCTAGATACTGCAGGAAAGCTACTAGAAAAACTGTTGAAACCCCGCATCATAGCCGCCATAAACGATGCTGGAGGCCTATCAGAGCGACAACGTGGCTCAGACCAGGCAGGTCCACTCTCGGAGCTGTGGAAGACGTCGTGCGCACCGTTGAGGAAGCTCATCGAAAGAACAACTTCTCGAGGCCAATAGACCTCCTCGCAACAATTGACATACGAAATGCATTCAATAGCGCAAAATGGGAACCACGTTGGCTCAGCAGACAACATCGCCGCCATCATAACCGCGCGTAATACCGAAATGGCCAGGCGTTGATCAAGTTATGATACGAACACAGACATGGTTGGACTCACACGGCCTCAGCCTAGCTGCTGAAAAAACAGAACTGATCCTGCTCACTAGGAAACAGATCCTGCTGGAGGTAAATATTCAAGTCCATTCAGAGACTCTTCAAACGACGAAAACCCTAAAATACCTAGGAATAAGAATGGACAACAAATTAACATTCTGGGTTCAAATCCAACGTGCTGCAAAAAAAGTCAGCCAATATAACCATGGCGCTATCAAGACTTATGGCAAACACCGGAGGCCCACTTGCAAGTAGAAGGAAACTGCGTATGGACACAACACAGTCAGTGCTACTATACGGTAGCGAAATATGGGCCGATACATTAAATGTAGAAAATAGGCGGAAAGTGCTCGCTGAAGTGCAGAGAACAGCAGCCCTGAGAGTCGCCTCGGCATACCGCACTGTATCCGAACCCGCAGTGCTAGTGATAAGCGGCGTTATCCCAATAGACCTTCTCGCAAAGGAGAGAAGACAACTCTGGCTATGGAAGAAAGACGGTATAGAAACACACATGGCCACAAGACAACAGGCGAGGAAGCAAACTCTTGAACTCTGGCAAGATCGTTCGACAAAGAAGCATGAAGAACCGTAGAAAACAAGCTCGGAGAACTAAGTGTGGAAACTCTTATAGAAAAAATGATATTTAGCAGCGAAAACTGGGAAGTAATTGCCTCGTACGTGGAACATGTTCTACACACTAAAAAAAGAGACATGGACGCGGACTCCCAATAGTAGACGAGCCAAACAGCATGAAGTAGGCTACAAAATCGTAGGCATCCCTGGACGCAGGAAGAGTAGAAATGACCTGTAATGGGTCCATCTCGGAAACCTTACCCTGAGGTAATGCGAAAGCGGTCTCGGGGTAGGGAAAAATTCCATGATAGAAGGGGGGAATGTTTTAGTGGGTACACCACTCACGTAGGATGACGGCCATCACCATTTTCTTCGCTGCCTTATCCATTCTGGAAAAAGAAGAACTAACGTCGCGGTTGTGAAGGGCAATGATATCAATATAATAGGCGTACGCCAGCAGCTGTACACACTTATAGAAGAACTATTATTATTATCGAAATATTTTCGTCAAGAGTAGGTTGAAGAAGTCATACGAAAGGAATTTGCCTTGTCTGAAACCTCGTTTTTTCGTTTATACGGCGGTATTAGGTTTGCGTTCCTCCACAGGATGAATGACATTACTCGCCGAGGAAATCTCTCACCCATCACGAAACCCAACAACAGAGAAACAATTTCTCACATTTTATAGAAAAATTAAAGTAGATAAACTAAGAGTTCAACCGAGAGCAAAGTACTAACAGTGAAGAATAAAACGTTAACGAGCTCTTGAATGTCGGCAGTTTTAACTTTCACACGGATTTGAGCGTCTGAATGATCAACCACAATCAATGCCAAAAATAAAGGTTCGTTCAAACACATGAAAAACTTCAAGTTCTCTGGGGATGATAATATAATGCTGAACTCAAAAGAAACGCAAGGTTCATTGAAAGAACTTGATCTGGAATTGACATGCAATGAAAAATTAAATTTTTTAATTAAATTCATTTCCACTATACTTCAAAATAATGTTTTATTTAATTTTTATACCCTGATCAGGGTATATTAAGTTTGTCATGAAGTTTGTGACACCCAGAAAGAAGCGTCGGAGACCCTATAATGTATATATATAAATGATCAGTATGTTAAGATGAGTCGATTTAGCCAAGTCCGTCTGTCTGTATATATACGAACTAGTCCCTCAGTTTTTAAGATATCGTTGTGAAGTTTTGCAAACGTTTTCAAACTGAACTATCGAAATCACGTTCTTGTATTCAAAACTTTTGCACTTGACAAGATATATTCACGAAATTTGGTATAGACTATTTTCTGAGGCAACAATGCACTCTCCGAAGAATTGTTCAGATCGGCTCACTAGAGCGTATAGCTGTCATACAAACTGAACGATCGGATAGAAGTTCTTGTATGGAAAACTTCTGCATTTGACAAGATATATTCTCGAAATTTGGTATAGATTTACTAAGGCAACAATGTGATATCCGAAGAAATTCTTCAGATCGGATACTATAGCATATAGCTTCCATATAAACTGAACAGGTAGTTACTAAAAGAAATGCACCTGTGAAGGGTATATTAGCTTCGGTGCAGTCGGAGTTAACGTTTTTCTTGTTTCAATTTAAAAGTAATTAAATCGACGGTTTTGTATAAGCACAAACAAGCGCAACGTAAGAAGAACTGTAAATATAATCTATATAAATAAAAATAAATTGTTGTTCGTTTGTCTGATTAAAACTCGGGAACGGCTAGGTTGATTGAGTTTTAAAATGTTTGTCCTAGTCCAGGGTAGGTCTAAACGGTGAGCAAATAAGGAAAAATTGCGAGAAGGATAGAGTAAGACGACAATTCCATTTTCTTCTATAAAAGTTGACCACTTACTTTCTGTCAAACATTTGACGGTATTTGTACTCTCAGTTCCACTCGAATTGAAGAACGCATTAAAACAAGACTTTTGAATCGACAACATAATATCAACTTTGCTCATAACATCGTGTATTTAAATTTCAAAAAAAAAAAAAAATTTAAGTGTTGACATGTTTGATGGGTGCCAACCTTACAGTGTTACCAACTCTCAAAAATATTTTTATTATAATAGCGGGGCATCTCGGCAGGATATAATTTATAGAATACTAGCTGCATTGCCGTGACCATTGCCTTTGGAGACTCCAAATTGCTCATTGCTTACTAGATATAGTTACAGAGATACATAGTTTGCAATATATCGTAAGCTATAAGCAGAGAACGTCTATCATAGAGAAGGTTCACGTTTCAAATATYGTAACTTTTCGAAGGGGTRCTCGGYAGAGATGGTCCAGTTTCACCACAGACAAATTATAAGCGTGTTTCACCACGAAAATAGCAGAATTGAGCATTTTCAGTGTTAAATGAGAAAAATAATGCTAATTCTAATGTTAACAAATTTACGCCTAGAGATTCGTTTATTTTCTATGCGCAACTGACTCGGCACATAATTTATGTACATCTGTATATATTTGGTATCAAAGCATATACTTAGTATATAAGTGCATAAGTATGTATGTATGTTTATTAAAATCTATGTACATATGTATTTCATTATGATTCCATAAAATCATTAAAAATATAAAAGATAAAGTTTGTAT